AAGATTCATCGTTGGTGCGGGATTGGATCTGTCTTTTTTCAGCTGGGTTTCGAGTGGCATTTCTGAGGAGGCGGAGACTGGAGAGGGTAGAGGATGGGGATTTAGTTACGGGGCGGGCCTAGACGACTAGTCAAGGGGTGGAGCGTATAAACGCACTGGGGGCGTGTCTTGAAATGTCAAGGAGAGGTTGAGGTTCATAGGCTAATGAGAGGGCGGGCCCTGGAATCTTCAGCAGCCGAATCCGAGAGTAGCTCTTTCCAGGGTGGGGGCTACGGGTTTAATATGAGAGGCGGGATCTTCGTATTAGTAGAAGAAAGTAGGAAGGTCTGGAGGGTTATTCAGTTCCAAAATTAGTTAAGAAGGCGGGATCTGGATACCTATTCGTGGGGGCGGAGCCTAGTTAAATAGGCAAGTCTGTGCTTTCTAGGGGGAAGGAAATGAGCTGAGGCTAGTATATTAATTCAGTTAGCAGATCCTAGATGGTTTCTGTATCGTACTCTGCCGACTGCCTCTTTCGTCCCCCAGCCATTAGCGTGCTCGATTCTGCGGACATAGAGGTCACAGACAGTCGCCTTCCCAATGCCACTTTCATGGAACACCGGCCCCAGGTACCACCTCGCCCTCCTAATCGAGGCCGCTTGCCTCGAGACTGGCACTCCATGTACACTTGTGTCCTTACTCCAGCACCGTCGGCCAGAGACCTTGGGTACACGTACCGCACCGCCCCAAGTGACGCAGGGTAAGGCACGTTGTGCTTCGAAGCCGTCCCAGACCTCTGGTCGATTCTGTGTGGAACTTGTTCGGGGTTCTGCGGGCTTTGGCCTCACATTAAGTGGAGGCCGAGATGCAGGCGGGGACGCTCCACTGGCAGTGCGCGGGCTGCTGAAGGACGGGTCGGCACAGCGCTGCGGCCGCTTGCAGGTGAACTGTAAGGCACCGCCCATTCGACGGTGCTAGCCCTGTCCTTGCCCTTTGTCAGTGTGCTCTCCATTTTGCCCTTCCTACAACACCCCTTGCCTTGCACTCTTACAGGTCGGTGATCTAGTGCTCCACATCAATGGAGAGTCAACTCAAGGCCTCACCCATGCCCAGGTCGTGGAGCGGATTGGTGCAGGCGGCCCCAGGCTCTGTCTCGTGCTAAGCAGGCCTCTTGAGACCCACGCCAGCAAGCCTGAGGGGGTGGGAGGGCCCAGGAAAGAAGATGGTGGGTTTCCCAGGAAGAGAGGGGTCAAGGATCTGTGAGGGGGGAAAGGGGGTCGCAGAGTGGTGAGGCTGGTGTCCTGGGTGAGAAGGGTTTGGTGGTCTCAATGGGGAGGTTCGAGGCTTCAGTGTCTGTGAGGGTCATGATAGTCTCCAAAGTTGTGGTGGGGAGGGCGGGGTCACAGGATAGGAATAAAGGTGGATTTCCAGAAGGGTGGTTTTTTGAAGTACTAGAAGGGAAGAGGAATGAAGGGGTTTGGGATAAAAGTGGGTATTCAGAAGGAAGGGTCGTGGTCCTTGGATGGGAAGGAATAGTGGGTCTAAAGAGAGAGGGGATGGGATGGGGATCCAGAAAGTAGGGGGTCTAGTCCCAAAAGGAGAGGGGTCAGAGAGAGACCCAGAGAAGGGTAAGAGAAAGGGTTGGGAGTTGAAGAAGGTGGGATGAGCAAGGAGAGAGTCTGGGATCCTAGATGGGAGGGATTTGATTTCCTTTGGGGGTTGTGGGAATTGATTTCTGAGGGGAGTGTTCTGGATCCAGGAAGGGAGGGGTCTTGGGAAAGGAGGTGTCGGGTCTTGAGGGGTGGCATCGGTTCCCGAAGGGCATGTCCATGCCTTGAAGGGAGGTTTCTCTAAGTACCGGGGCCGCTGCCTCCGGCAGCCTTTGGAGTCTCCCGGCCACCCATGGCCAAGGGATCCCGACCTCCTTTCCCCACCCTATCGCCCAATCTAACCCGCAGTCTTGCCATCCCCAGATCAAAGCCCAAATCTTGGGGAACCAGAGGTGATGAGGTCTCACAGCGCCAGCGCTTCCCCACTTCAGCACCCTCGACCCTATACGACGCCCAAAACCCAGGGCAGCCCGGAGCCTAGCCCAGAAGGGGCAGCCGACGGCCCCGCCGTTCCTGCTCGTGAGCCCCGCACGAAGGACCCAGAAGACCAAACCCCAGATTCCCCTGGACCCTGGCTGGTGCCAAGTGAGGAACGGCTCTCGCAGGCTCTAGGGGTCCCGGGGACTGCGCAGCTAGCCTTGGAGATGGCAGCCGGAAGGCGGAGGCACTGAACATGCATCAGACAGTTCACTTGGTATTGCCCAACCTGGATCTGGCATGCTCCGCCCTCCGCGCTCTAGCTTCGCGGTGAGAGCTTCCACTTGTCCCCCCTCCTGCTGCGCAGTCGACCAGCCCGCTCTCCCCTCGCGGCATCAGTGGTACGACCCTCCCGGACCGGCCAGCCCTGTGCTTCTTGTTTCAGGCAGGGGGAGTAATAAAATGGTTCGATCCAGTCTTGACTTGCCGGGTGCTCTAGGCCGGGTGGGGCTGCCGAGTCCACCCGTAAAGGAGGGGGTGTGTCGATCTGGTTTCGAGGAGGGCCTCTTCTAGCAACTGTTGACAGGCTTACTTCGTGCTGTTTCTTTCATGCCCCTAGAGAGACCTTTGCTCCTGCCGGCGGGCTGTCTCCCAACTCCGATTCCCTTCGTCAACTCCTGCTTCTTTCCCATTCATTCATTTCACTTTTTTGGAGGTGCGCAGGGCTCACAGATAATTATTGCGCGCGGCGTGGGGAATGCAGAGGTGGGCCTGTTGTGACCAGCGCACCAGCATACCCACAGCTCTGGCCAGGAGTCGTCCAGATCCTCAGCTGGGCCAGATAGCAAGGCTAGAACCAGAGTAGCTTCCTTTGCCGAGAGCCTGCGGTCTTTCACTTCCTGCCTGGTCGGCCAGCTTTCCCAAGCAGGTAGACTGCCACCCTCAGGGCACGGGCTGGGGCCCTGGTGTCCCCTTTGGGGCGGAGCCGGGAAGTTGTGAGTCAGCGGGCCGGGCTAAAAAAGGCTGTTAGAACCTTTGGGCCGCGCCCCCCCCCCGCCCCCGCTTCCATAGATGGTGAAGAACTGTGGCCGGCCGGGCTTGTGTGCACACGCTACACGCTGGGCGTTCCCAGTCCTGGGAGAGGCCAGAGTTTTCCTCCATCCTGGGAACAGAGCCACAAAGCCAGGGCTTATATGGCCAGCCAGACTCCAATCGGGGTAGCCCCTAAGCAGGAGATGACCGAGGCCAGAAATGTCCAGTCACCTCCACTGTCACCACCTCCTGAACACTTGGTCCCATCCCCGCAAGGAAGGAAGCTGTGGTCTGGAGGGAATGGGCAACTCTCACCCCTATGGGGAGGGGCTGGAGAGGTAGGGGAGAGAAATTAAAGGACCCGAGTGTGAGTGTCCAGGGTGGTGTTGGGGAGGAGAGGGAGACTTCAAAGCCAGGCAAGGAGTTGGGGTATAAAGAGGTGAAGAGGTGAACCCTTGAATGATTAGCACTGTAAGCATTGTGGGGGAGTGTGCTGGGGCTTCTAGCTGACCCTGACTCAGAGCCTGGTAGAGGTGTGGCTCTGGAGAAGTCAGGAAAGGGCTTCAGAGCCCCAGTCCTATAAGCACAGTCATACCCAAGAGACTAATAAGAGTAACCCCGGCCACCATTTATTTAGCCTTATCCCTGCTACTCGCTTTACTCACATTATCTATTTCCGTCTAGTTACACATCTACTCAACAATCCTGATGTGTCCATTTCGCAGAGGAGAGAAATGAGGTCCAGCAAGTATAAATAGCTTGAGGGATCTGGGGATTGAAGCGAGATTTAATCTTGCCCCATTCCCAAGCCCGTCCTCTTAATCTCACCTGCATTTGACAGGTATGAATTGAGTCCCATCTGTTTTACCTTGCACTGTGATAGGTACTGGTGAGATGCTGGAGGAATGAAACATAAAGTTTTCTATCCTGGTGTAGCTGATGTAGTGGAGGGGGACAGATTTCAGAAAAGACAAGGAAAAGATAAATAAAAGATAATTTCAGAGAGAAGTGAGAGTTATGAAGATAGCAAAAGGAGGTTATTGTGAGGGAGGTAATGATGGTGGGCTGCTGGCCCCTTTGAAGACTTAATATTTGAGCTGGGACCTAAATGACCAGAGACAAAGTATCAGAAGTACTGGGGAACAGCAACCATTGACAGCAGTGGGAACAGCAAGTTCAAAGACCCTGATGTAGAACAGAATTTGTTTTGTTCTAGAAACTCGAGCATGTCCTCACAGAGTTGGAAAGCACACATCCAGCACTGGGAAAAGTATGCCTCATATCTTCCACTGTCCAATCACTCTTTCAACATCCTGGGCTGAAGGAGGGGAGCCCCTTCCTTGATTCTGTGGGACTTTGGGTTGGGAGGGGAACAGTCAGTCCCTTGGGGAACCATCCTGGCCTTCCAGCCATGGCTCTGCTCTCCTCAAATGAGATGAGAATGAAACCAGCACCCACAGGGGGAGGGTATAGCTCAGTGGTAGAACACGTGCTTAGCACACAGGAGGTCCTGGGTTTAATCCCCAGACCTCCATTAAAATAAATAAATATATAAGTTAATAACCTTATCACCCCCCCCAATAGAGATACTGATTCCCATGACCAGGTGCATGTCTCAGACACAGAAATCAAGGCTGAGTCAGGAAACTTTACTCACTCAGGATAACACACTCTTCAAATGTCATCAGCCTTGTCAACCAGCCTGGCACCCCAGGAGACTTCCCCTCATCTTGCCAAGCTCTCAGCAGTAAATAAACCTGTATTCCTTCCTCATTCTTCATCTAAGTCTGGAGTTGACAGCCCTTCTCCTTAGAACCAGGAAATGGAGGCCCAGCATTTCGGGCCAGGACCTCCCTAGAATTGCAGAACCGAGAATCAGACCCTGGGCTCTGACACTATTATGATGTCCACCTCCATTTACCAAGCAGCTTGCTGAGTAGGCCCTGTTCCCTCTCAGCCTGTTCACGGGCGAGGTCTCATTCCCATCACGGCCAAATTTACTCCAAGGTCCACAGTCCTCTATCCACAATTTCAAAATCCCCAAAGCTCTGAAAACCAACAGTTTTCCCACAAGTTGGGCACTTTTTGGTTAAAAATCCTGATCTGACTTAACCAGGAACAATTTTTGGTTCTGGCTTATCCCACTTACCCTGGCTGTCCACACCTTTCCTTGAGGAAATATTAACTTTTTTTTTAAACGGGGCAGCCTCAGACCCTCGCCGAGAGTGTTAAATAATGTACCTTACACGCACTGTTTTCTAAAATCCAAAATATTCGGAATTCTGGAAACGTACTGGAGTTTAACCCTGGCCTTGGCCGTATTTACAACTAAGGAAACTGAGGCATTCCCCCTCCAAAGCGAAATCCCCACGGTTCTGAGTTGAGGCAGCCCCGGGCGCGTTTGTGTTCTAAAAGCGTGAAAGATCTCTCCATTGCAACACATGGCACGCAGAACTGCCAAGCCTCAGAGGCTGGCGGTCCCGGAGATAGAGCGCCCTGGGGGGCTGTGCGCCGGGCGGGGAGTATCCTAGGCGGGCGGGGCGAGGGGGCTTCCGGGGCGGCAGCCACCTGGCCCGGCCCGCTTCGGCCCCGCCCGCTTCTACTCCGCGCGGTGATTCACTCCCTCCTTCGCCCCGGGGCCCCTTCCCGGCCAGACGGCGGGCAAGACTGCTGGGTGTGCAGCGTCCTCGAACGCACGAGCAAGCGAGCAGATCCTCTGCGCCCCTACGGACTCCGGTCCACGCCATGGCGGATTCCGAGCGCCTCTCGGCCCCCGGCTGCTGGGCCGCCTGCACCAACTTCTCGCGCACCCGAAAGGGGATTCTCCTGTTTTCTGAGATTGTGAGCGTCCCGGGACAGGCGGGTGGGCAAAGGTGGGTGGGGTGGCTGGACCACGCGGATCCGGACAGCCCCAGGGGAGGCAGGCGCGTGGTGAGGGGCTCTGCGCCGTGGGGCGCGGGGTGGGTAGATTGGTGGCGGAGGCCCGAAACCAGGGGCGCAGGGCGGGTCAGTGAAGTTTGAAGGTGATTGGGAGCTGCTGACCCACGGGGTGAGACAAGAGGCCCATAGGGCATTTGGGGGGCCCCCGTGGAGGGATACCCGGTGGACTTATCCAAGGGGTCCCCACGGGCTGGGAGGTGGAGGAGGGTCTCCCGTGACAGGGCGTGGTGCGGCCTGGGCACTGGCGGGCGGGCTGGCAGAGCGCCCAGGGGCGGGACCTCTTGGGGTGGGGCCCCGCGCGCTAGTCCCGCAGGGCAGGGCGATCCGCCCTTCCCCAGTTCTTCCTCGCCCTTCTGTGGTGGGGCGGGAGGTGTTTAGATATTTGGGCCGCTTGGAAACCTCGGCTTCTCGCCCCTCTCAAAGTGGGCGCCGTTTTTGAGTCACTTGTAAAAGGGGTGCGGCGCCTTTAACTGAGCCCTGCCCCTTCGGTGTGACACTCACCGCTTCTCAAAGGGGTTGCCGGGGGAACCGCACGTCCCGCCCCGTCAAAAGCCCTGAAGCTGGTGCTGGCAGTGCTTACAAAAAACACCTGAAGGCACCACTCTCCGAAGGCTGCCACTATTCCAGAAGGGAAAAGGGGAGAAACTGAGGCGCACAACCCTATCCCTTACTAGTTGGGTGACCCTGGACAAATCACTTAATGTCTGTCTCTGTGCCTGCCTTTTCTCATCTATAAGATAAAGAAGCTACTAATAGTACACAGTTCATTAGGTTGTTGTGATGACTGAACGAATTAATACTTGTACAACTCTTAGAACAATATGTGGAATACAGTGTGCACACAATAAGTGTTTAGCTATTATTATTTGCCATCTTCCCAGTCCTGGTAGGCATCTGAGTCTGAAACTCCCAATTTAAACCAATCTTCGCCCTGGGAGTTGATGGAGGTCCCCTTTCACGTGTCATTCTTCCAGATACTGTGCCTGGTGATTCTGATCTGCTTCGGTGCCTCAGCATCAGAATACTCTTTCCTGTCTGTGATTGAGATGATCTTTGCTGCCATCTTCTTTGTCGTCTACATGTGTGACCTGCACACCAAGATATTGATCATCAACTGGCCTTGGAGTGTGAGAAAGGGGCCACAATGGCCAGGCTAGGGAGGGGTCTGGGAAGGTGGTATTGTAGAGGGAATTCTGGATACTGACTTCTCTTTTCTCCCTGCACCTCACAGGATTTCTTCAGAACCCTCATAGCAGTCATCCTCTACCTGATCACCTCCATTGTTGTGCTTGTTGAGAGAGGAAACAACTCCAAAATTGCCGCAGGGGTAAAGGCTGTAGAATCTGCTCCAAAGCATAGAGAGAGGGGTTTGAGGATCCTGGGGCCATTTCTGCCTCTGCTTCTGCCAGGAAGTGTGTGACCTATTGTAGGTCACCTTTGTCCTCAGGGCCTGCAGGAAACTCTGACCCAGGCCCTGTTTTTTCTCCCCAAGTTGTATTTGGTGTAAAGGGGCATCCCTTGTCCAACATGGGGACCTTTGTGTGAAGCACAAAGAGGTGGCCCTTTTGTCATCACACTAGACTACCATCTGCTAAAGCTTTGTCTCACTGTACAGTGTGAATGGTTCCACCTATATGTGGGGCCACTGTGTGGCTGCGCTGTGTTGAGAGGTACTAGGTAGAGGGAGGGTGGGGTACAGTTCAGTCTTCTGGCCTTTCCCTCGGGCTCTCTGGCTTCCCAACCTGGGGCTTTAGTCACCACCCCTGCATGGGGGCAGTCACTGGAGGTGGTGGATACAAGGAGGTAAGAGGTTGAGTAGGCTGACCAGCTTAATCCAACCCCTCTCATTCCCATCCCCATTCCAGGTACTGGGCCTAGTCGCCGCAGGCCTCTTTGGCTATGATGCCTACATTACCTTCCCCTTGCGGCAGCAAAGACATACAGCAGCCCCTACTGGTAAGTGTCTGTGTATGGGAGGGGGTGTTGCTAAGAGGGCTGAGAAGGAAATGAGTCTTTCAAGGGAGTGAATGCCAACTCTGTCCCTTATTGGCACTTAAGACTTTATTGCCAAGAATTATCTTAAGCTTCAGTAGTCTCATCTGTAAAATGGACATATGGATCCAGCCAATGCTTTCTCTCTTTTCCTCACTTGCAGACCCTGCAGATGGTCCGGTGTAGGTGAACTTCGTTTCTCTCAGCAACCTGCAAAGAACACCTCCATCGAAATAATTCCTCCCCTCCCCTACAATACTCCCAGCCAACTCCCAGCCCTCTAATGAGGTAAAAGTGCCTTTATCGGGAGATTTTGTCTTCTAGCCTGCCATTCAACCCTCCTGGGTGTGGCCACGTTTACGGGTATGCCTAGGTCCCCCTTTCTTCTGCAGCATCCAAACAGAGACTCCAGTTCTGCCTGGACTATGCCCCCACCCCAGCTACAAAAGGAAGGTGCCTTGGATTTCAGACTCCAGGCCCCAGGTTGTGATCCACTCCAAATAACCTCAGCGTGTGTGTGGGTGGGGGTGGTTCTGTGGAGGAGTAAATAAATAGTAAGTAGATTGTTAGAACATATGATGACAAATAAATTAATGCTTTTGATCAAATGTAGATAAATCTCAAGCATCAGGGTTGGGGGAAATTGGGGAGGGAACAGCTGGAACAAGGAGGTAAAGAAGCCAGGCCTGTTTTACAACACATATTAAATTACTTCAATAATACAAACAGACGAAGGAAGGAGGAAGGAAGAGGATCTATGACTTAAGTTGAGGGGTGGGTCATCGCTGACACTGATTTGAGAATGGATTCCCCCCCCCCATCACTGCCTCTCCTTCAAGCCAAGATGCAATTCTTGTCTTTGGCCTGGCGAGGAATCCCTGGGCGGGAGTTCCGGGGGAGCTGTGGAGATGGGGAGTTGGCGGGCTCAGTTGCAGTGTTTTGCACCGCTGGCATGAGCCTGCACAGGTGCGGGGGCACCGGGATGCGTTCCCCTAGGAAGAAGCCGTCGTCCTCTGAGGACTCAGAACTGGAGCTGGACGGCGAGCTAGAGCAAGATCCTGAGTCAGACCCTGATCCCAAGTCACACTGATGGTGGCGACGTCTGCCAGAGTGGCGGCGGTGATGGTGGTGGTGATGGTGGTGGTGGCGGCGGTGGCGCCGACGACGGGTGGGGCCCCTGGGCGGGGGACTGCGCGGCCTGCGGCGCTGGGCTGGGGGCG